TCTTCTGTCAATGGCAGCCAGGGTTGTTGTGCCTAAAGATTACCGATACGGCACCAACAGACCCTGGACTATAGCTGCTAAGAGGCTGAATCCCCCGGGGAAGAGAAGGAGAAAAGTGTTTGTGGAGCCGATTGCGCCTGAGGACTGGACAGTACTCAGAGGGGACACGGTAAGAAACTGAGAACAGCTCGCTTAGACACAATGAACTATAATTTACAACTCTTGAAAAGGGAAGTTGCAAGGCGTTTTGAATAGGCGAGAATAAGGTTTTACGTAATATATGCAAATCTGAAGTGAGTTATGTTTTGATAAGAAATTAAAGTTACTTTGTCACTGCACACAAGCAGGAGTTTGTTTTTTTTATACCAGTAATGGTGCTTCCATAGAGAGTGTTGTTCAGAGGTTTTGGTACTAAAAGTAAAGTGAGGATGCTTTAAAAATTAATGCCACATATAGGGTTTATTTATCAATTACCTTGATACAAAGTACAAGAAACCATATTTTGGTATGACCGCCATTTGCCTTTAAAACAGGACCTGCTCGGCTTGACACAGTACTACAGTACAGAATATTATCTAGAAAGTTGCAAATTTTGATAGATGTGATAATAGAAATAGTAGCATCTACATCGAGTCTGTATAAAATCACCTGTCAACAACTTAACCAGTGGATCTGCCACTACATTACAAGCTAGCAGTTGTTTATTGGTACAGGTAAAAGTATGTTATATAAACTATGATAATATCACAGTCAGTAATAGTATATATAATGTTTTGGCTAAACCTAAAAAATAAGTGAAAATGTTTGACTTAAGTGTTTGTTTTTTTGTGTTTCTTAGGTTGAGATTCTTGCAGGGAAGGACAAGGGGAAACAGGGGAAAGTGGTCCAAGTCTTCAGGCACAGAAACTGGGTTATCCTGCAGGGACTGAACACAGTAAGGAAGTAATTGTTCTCTCAGAGAAATTCAGATAATTTCTTTATTTGAATGTGTTTCTTTATATATCTTTAACCACTAATTCTGTCATTTTTTGATCAGCTCACTACTAATACTTAGTGTGTCAGAGTGTACTTGGTGTTGCTGGTGAGAAAATGAAACGCTTGCATTAGTTTTTCAGCACAAGCCACTGACACATTTAAGTAAATTCTGGCCTCAAAGAGACAACATTCCCAATCTTGTCATTTAAATAAAAAGTCAATTAAACAAGGATATTGTCATGCTGATTACTGTTGTAGCAGCAACATACACTGTTTAATTTCTGGCTCCACCAGATGGAGCCAGATGTCTTGTAGAACTTGGCATGTTCAAGATGCAGCTGCTGACAACATGCACTGAGAAATAAAACATCTGGCCTTTTCCAGATGGGGAATTGTGAACATTTTTTTTTCCTGTCTTAGCATTACAGGTATATTGGAAAAACTCATGATTACCCTGGGACCTACATTGCCAGTGAGGCTCCTATTCTGCTTCGCGATGTTGCCCTCATTGACCCGTCAGACAGGTACATTAACCTCAGTCTCAGTGCCGAACTTAAATGGTGAATATGCATGTGCATAAACACAATAGTTGAACCGCAGTTGCTCAGTCAAAATCAGTTGTTGTCCTTCAGTTAGATTGTCTCAATACTGACCTTCCAGGAAGCCCACAGAGGTAGAATGGAAATTCACAGAGGAGGGTGACAAAGTCCGAGTGTCTGTCAGGACGGGTTGCATCATCCCCAAGCCTGTTGTAGAGCGACGAGATGGCATTGTGCCAGAGCAGTGGAAAGGTGAGCGTCTCTGTGTGTGTTTTGGTTCCCCTTGGTTACCTAGATTTTATTAGTGTTGTTTTTAGTTTACTTTTTTGACACTGCAGGTATCCCACAGAGATTTTGTAGTCTGCCCAACTAAATCTTTACCTTTGTCATTTTCATGAGTGTTGTCAAAATTGTCTAATGTGAAAATAGAAAACAAGTGCTTGTGATGGTAAATACTGTGATTTTGGCCAACAATTTTCCCTATGGACATGTTTTTGCTTTTTATGAGCTCTTGTGTATGTGACTACCTTTTATTTCTGCATTCACAGATGGTCCAAAAGACACCAGTCCCGAAGACACTGTAGAAAAGACATTCACACCATCTCTGAAAACCCTGGAGGAAGAGGTCATGGAGAAACTAGGTATTCAGGAGAACAGAAGGCAACGAAAGTCCTACTGGTACTGACAGAGACACTTAGGCTTCTAGTAACCACGGGGACTCAAAATGTGCTGTGTTTTGGTGGGTGTCATGCTGAGTGACATAGCAAAAAGAGGCCATGTCAGGATGGCATGAGTAAGGGTTTTTGCTGGTAAAACACTGGTGCATCATACAAACTATAAAGGAAATGTTAGGTTTGTGAAAATGTGGTGATATAGACATGCAGCATGTATTACCTGAATCAGTCTCTTTTTGCAGAGGTGTCAGTTTATTGTTTTGTTTCTTTATAACATGAATAAATGTCACATTTAACCCAGTCATTTTCATTTCTTTGAATTTTGCTCTAACATGGAGGTATTTATCACAGGGTATGATATCAAAGTGCAGGTTTCAGTAAGTATCTCTGTGATCTGTCATTTCAGCAGTGGCAGAGCTATGCATGTATTTTTCGTTTTCTACATATTTGACCTTGATATCAGCATCAACATGCACTAATTTAGGAAGAGAACAGTAAAATTTGCTCCTATGCTCATGGAAATGCTTGAATAATATTTATTGAACAGGGGCCATTGGTGTTATTAACATGTAGCTGAGGGGTCTTATTAAAGTGTCATTTCAGCTAAGATGGCAATGTAAAACAAGCTGATATAATTTAAGCTCTGAATTCTGGTTGACAGTGATGTTCCCTCAAATTAACACAGAACAGTAGCTTCACTCCTAGAGTGAGTAAATAACTTTTCAATTCGTGTTGTAAAATATTTCATACATACAGTCTGCATTATTGAAAATGTTATATTACTTCTTGATATTGGCAGAGTTAACAGTGGTATAGTAATGGCTGCAGCCTGTTTGGCTCACACATGAGGCTGAACACAGTCATATTATTTTACAGAAGCCCAGACATGCTGCTCTCTAAGCCTTAAAACCTTTAGACAAATGAGTCTGTCTTTCCAGCATGTCTGGGAAACTAAGGAGAAGGAAGTGGCCTGGGAGGAGACTATACAGACTGTGTAGTTTCAACAAAGTTCCCATTCACCTCATTTGACATGTTATACACTGGTACTGTGTTTAGTTGTTCTGGTCCTGAGTGATTGTTTTTGCATCAGGTTTCAAATATGACTTCATCTATGAAATTATGGCCCACTATGAAAAATGACTAGGGTATTGTAAATCTGTATGAGAAAACAGACTGAGGAAAAGCTTTATGCTGTGAACAGCTAGAGTAAAAACAATCCTCATCCTTTTCACTATAGACTTACACTTTCTTGCCAATGTAAGTGTACTGTATTGTTTTCATACCTATACAGCAAATCAACCCAATATTACCCAAAGACTGAAAGTGATATTCTGAATGTTTTTCATTTAAACTATACTAAACTGGTTCAGTTTCATTCAGATTTATATTCTGGGAGTGTGAAAAAGCATTTTAACCAACATGGAAATACTGGGAATATAAATGAATGAAATTAGGCTTTTATTTTTTTGACTGTTCTAAAAAAATGCCCTTAGAAGGTGGTGATAATTTAAACTCACTGGGTCCTCTGTACTTGTAAAGTTGGCTATGTTCCTGTCACCCCATACAGCAACACTCACTTCACTTAAAATGCCCATTCATGTTTAAACTCACCCTCTGCTCTGTTATCTGTGATGTACTGTATGAGGGAGGCCTAACCATAAAGCATCTTCTTCCTCGCTGGTTAACCACGAGTATTGATTTACCAGAAGACACAAGCTGCCAGGTCTCCAGCTGCAGAAGCAACTAGCTTCCTTTTAGGCAATGTGGCACAGATTACGTAATTTTATCAAAATGTCACAGTGGCTCTCTTTACCCCAATTTCTGGTCAGTGCAGTAACATCATGCAGAAAGCACGGCAGGCCAACGAATGCAGCAGCTTTCCAGGACCCATCCCTCCTGAACCGGTTTGCCTCTGCTGCTTTGAGTCCAAGAGAGAATAAAAGTACCTCGTCAGTGGAAACTGGGTTTTGAGGTTTTGCTTTTATGGGAGGAAAATGATTCAGTGGCTGGTCATCTGTCCTGTCACTGCATGAGTGCTGCATGGATTTCAGTCTGGGATTTCAGCAAGGTGAAATGTTAGCATTGGTAAAGTGGAACTTTAGTTTTGCTTCATTTATCTTTATCTCTTTCCATTTACATAAACAAGGCAAAACTTTATGGCTATCTCAACTTGTGCAGTGTAGATAATGCCCATCTTGTAATTTCTACTTTGCGGTAAACTACCAGCAGTTCGGGTAACCCAGTTAATTGAAACCACTAAACATAACTCAAGCAGACTTAAGGATACATAAAAATAAACTGCAGACTGTGCTCTGTATTTTAGCTGAGTCATATTTGCTTCTCAGCCATGTAAACTAATGAATCCCACCTGGTGGTGGAGGCTGCACGTGTCAGAGTCAAATCCACCAGCAAAAGTCTTATTGTTTCTTCATCTGAAAAGGCACATTACACAATGCAGCAAGTTGTTTTATCACTCAGTGCTCTTGCTTGCTCTTCATAATGAGATGCTTACAAATGTTGCTGTGCAGATTTTACACATAAAAAAATTATTTTAGAAATTCATCCTAGCTTCATAAGTTGTGTGATGATCTCCTTGCCGAAACAGAAGCATTTGTCTCGAGAACATCTGAAGACACTTAAAAAAAAGTGCTCTTGACTTAGCTGCAATATAATGATACTGTGTAATTATAGGCTGGCTGTTTGAAGGCTGCTGGAAAATGTAGCTCGTATGCAGGACTGAGACACTGCTTGCAAGCATGTGTAATTGTTTGGTTTAATTTAGTCTGCTGTAGTTAGGTTACAGTTTGGAGTCAATGAAATGCAGTGTAGTATAAAGTATTAGAAAGCAGAAACACTTAGGGTAAAACTACCTGAAAACTGTACTGAAGAGCAGCACTTATAAAACCAGTTGTGTCTATTTTACATATATAAGATATAGATGTTCTCAGACTAAAAAGCAGCTGTTTTTTTGTTGTTGTTGTTGTTGTTCTGATCATTTGGAGCAGATACTGTTATCTTTCTGTAGCTCTTCTTTGGGCTTTTGATTGTGACATCATATGATGGAGTCCAGCTTTCATGTTCAGATTTCCATTTCCAAGCACTTTTATGACTTCTCTGTCATTTTGGCCTAAAGTGAGGCTATGTGACTGTGGCTAAACAGTGGCCGCTGTGGTCACACAAAGTAGTTGTGTGATAATAACACATAGAATTTCATTTCCCAACTTGCTTGAGTGTTCCCAGAGTGTACTGAACTGTGCAGAGTTGTGTTCAGCTGCTGATGAATTCATCTTTAGCTCTGATAAAGAAAATCATTTTCTTTTCTTTCAATAGTCACATAGTCACAATAAAGCTGAAGTTTCATTCTTGACCTTTAACAGAGCCAATGAGAATACCACCCTACTATAAGCTCCATTTAGAGCTTTCTATAACACATAATCTCCATCAGCAGGGCCTTATATTCTTTGCTCAACTTCACAGTTAGGTAAAAGGTCAGACATTATGGTCTTCTGTGGAGCAGCACCTCTGAAGCTCATAGGAACTTCAGAGTAAAGCCTCTTCTGGATGGGCTCTTGCTGTCTGACATTTCTAAAGGCTGGCTTTCCTCTTTAGGCAGCAGGGAGAATGACGTCTTATGGTTAGCAAAACTGCTGACTGGACTTTAATCAATTTGGGTCACTGTGACAGTCACAGCTTCAATGTGATCTCGGACTGAAGCACACTTCTGATCTTTGTCTGTTCTCAGAGTTTTGACGTTTCCTGCAAAAATAGTCCTGCTGGCATCTGGGTGTCACATTCCTCAACTGTGTAGCACTGACCGCTGACTGACAACCACTACAAAGCACCATTCACTCTGTCTGTTGGCTTTTGGCAAAATATCTTGACACTTCTTGTGGACTGCCATGAAATGTCATACAGAGAGCAGTGATTCTTACAGGATGGCCCATAATAACTAAAGGGCTGTTCATGCTTCGCACGTATGCATGTCCACTGTAGCTGAGTGGCACAATTTTCGTCATCTTTCAGAGTTCACGAGGGTCCACGTGGAGTGTGCAGGAGCCCCGCATGCACAGTCCGCACAGCAAAAGCTTCAACCATGCATGTGCCACCAATGCTTGAGAAATGTTGGTGTACACAGACAAAAGGTAGACCCACAATTTTATGTATAAATAGGAACACGTGCACATTCCTTGTCCATGTCTGCACGAGAGTATGCACAAAGTATGTCTACTGTGAAGTGATCAGCTGACTTTTCATTTAGTACCAGGAGGTCAAGGTTTTCTCTTGTCCTGTGAACTACATTTTCTTCATTAATTCATTCACTTGATTAATTGGCATGAGATTTAGCACAAATTCTGTTTTCTGGAGGATGAAACTAAAAGAGTTTATATGTAATTAGACCACGGGATACCTAATGCATGGAGGGAAATGTGTGGGGGAGGAGGGGAGGCATGTTCAAAGATCCCCACTGTTAGGGTGATTTTTATTTTATGAACTTAAGAATGGTTTTATTTTATAACACACATAAGTTTACATACTTATGTCACAGTTATGTTTATATAGTTATGAATATCACTCTATGTGTTCACTGAACCACTGGTCAAATATTTGCTGTGTGAGTCACTGAAACACTAATGCAACATCATAAGTCTTGTCCACTAAATTACTGAATTTCATTAGATTTATGGCTGTAGCTAAGGGGGCTCATAGTTACTTATCGTTCCTGTGTATGTAGGAATTAAAGTAGTACAGGTATTCTTCCTCCTTTCTAGGGCGCTGTCCACGATGATTGGAGCAGAGAGGACGGACGGCATGAAGGACCAATAACGGGAGAGTTGAGTCTAAACCACGGCTTCTCCCCAACAGTTTTGGACCAATTAGATAGTAGTACCTTTTCATACAAATATTGTTAACCACTAAGTTGAGGTCAGTCTTTCCTGTTTATCCTAAACAGTGAGGATCCATGTGCACATGCTAATTTTGATACGTTAATGCATAATAAATTTCATACTGTGAAATATATATCCTCTTATTAGTCTTCTCTTTTCAATATAAAAAGAACACGCCTCAACACCACAGCTCATTTTTGCCCCCAGGCTGGTAAGGCTGTTAGTCCAGCCATGGACAGGACCACAAATGCAGGCTTTACTACTCTTCAACATCACTTATATTAACCCTTTGAGCTTGTAGTTTAATCAGTGAAAACTAGTAGCTAACCCACAGTATACAAAGCTATTTGATGAAGTGTTTGTATAAAGAATATAGGCTATTTCTAGTTATATGCAACTTTGAATGATATGTTGTGCTGGAATATAAATATGACTTCTACTGAACATTGCCTGTATTGGTCTCAAATCAAATGCAGGCGACCAACACACCCTGCAGACTTGGAAATGACGGAGCAGTTGCTGGGGTCTGTCACACTGGGACTGTGCCTCTGCAGGATGTTGCAAACTGTTCATTACTCCAGTAGTGACGCATACAAACTTGTTCAGTGTCCACTTAACTGACTATAGCGGCAGTAAGACGCCGAAGGCCCGTTCCTGTACAGGTGAGCGAGCTGCTATCACTAGGCTACCTGCGGCAGCATCAGCAGCTCCTACAGCTGCTGCGCTGACTCAACGCCTGTCCTTGGTTTATCCATGTGACGCTCAATGCCTTTGTCGTTTGCCTGCAGGAAAAAAGGGGGGAGAAACACGTGGGTCAGCATTTGAGTGCAGGCATCACTGCATAGCCTATATCATAGGTTATTTTAGATGCCAACCCTCCCAATTCCATTGGACAGGCATGCGCCATATCCTTCACGACCGGTGGGTGAAAAAGTGGGCAGTTCGGGATTTCATATCTGGCTTCACTTTCTCTCAACTCCCTCTTTTCTTTCCGAGCCTCGGAGTCAGTCGGACAGCAGTCCCAGCTCCGGTGTACCTGCGCAGATCAGCATCCAGAGCCGCTTAACCTGAGAGGAGAGTCGCACTGCAGCAGCCTGCGGGGAGCTGACGGGATATACTTTCTTACAGCCAAGAAGTCCGTCCATCCTGCATCCGCTAAAATGCTAAGATCCCGGTAGGTTTGGGGATGTTGTGTAAATGATAGGCAGTTGATAAGGTCTTGTCCTTTAAAATGGATAATGTCATGGTAAATGATAGGTTACTAGTACAGTTTACGAAAATGACCCTCAATATCAGTCTATTGCATCGCAGTAGTTGCTGTCCTCAGTGAAGGTCCTGAAATTATGGCCAGCAGTTATTTTTTCCTCTGAAAACGTGATTTTGTTTTCCAAGTATAGTTTCATCTCATAGACTTTGTGTTTTATCTCTCATTTTTGTTTTTGCACAGCATGGAACCCCCCCACCACTTTGCAGATGTACAGTAGGTAGCTTGTGTTTCTAGGGGGCTTAGTCACTTCCACCAGCTCCTCAGTCCTCACTGATAGATAGTCGGATTATTCACACAGTTGTGCATGAAAAATTCCATGAAACTCAAAAACATTTAAGGATGACTTCTACAGTACTTAAGATAGAAGTCTTCTACATTTCTACACCACAAGTCTTGTTTGATTCAAACCAGTGGAGAAGGTATTTATTTTAAATGCCTTTTTTCCTCTCAGAGTAATACACAGCTGCTGCTCAAATTAAGCTCTGAAATGCGGTTCCCTCTTCCCTGTAGGAAATGAAGGAAGCCAACTTTTTTGTTTTAACTGCAAATGTAGCCTCTCCTGTTCATTTTCTGTGGTATGCCTTAGGACAGTTTTATCAATGGACAGTAGAAACAGAAAGGGCAAAGTGGCAGGTGAAATAGCAGTCTTGTAAGATTGTTCTCTTCTGTTTGACGGTTCAGCGTTTGTCTCTGCAGAAGATGAAAATGAAAGCACTCATATCGTCCTTTCTGACCAAACATTTACAAAGTGTAGACCATGATTACCATATCTTTTATAATAATCAGTGCTGCTCATTGGGACCCAGCAAAACTCAAATTCGGTGAACTAGTGTTGACGGCCTACTCAGCCTGTCAAGTAACAAAAGCAGATGCTCAGTAAAGTGTCACTTGCTTGTTTCCCACATCTCTTCAGTCCTGACCCCAGTTTTAGTCATAACCCCATCCCCAATATTAACCCTGAATGTCTACTGAGCATATTTAATTTTGATTTGTTTTAAGAATGTATTGAGATTCAGTATAGTACACAAGCACTGCTCACATCAGGTTGTTCTAAGGTTTATAGATCCTTAAACAAAATGGCTGATCATTTATATCATTTCAAATTGTAGGTAATATTTTAAAATAAGGTCCACATTCAACTATGCCAACATAGTCAATGTGCCCCCATTGTTTTAGGGCTTAGAAGGGCTTGGTCAATACAAGATGTAATGAAATCACAAATCATTCTATTTAGTCCTCAAGCCAGCAGGCACCTCTTGAACTGTTGGGAGCATGAAGCAGAATTATATATATGCTGGTGTAGAGATGGCTGCCTGCTTCAGAGCCTCAAATTAAAGTGTTATTGGGAGGAAAATGCAATTCAGCAGTCCACTGATTGCTTCCATTCAATTCAATTCATGGTTTTATTGTCAGCAACACATGAAAGACTGGAGATGGAACAAAACTAACAAAATGGTTAGTCTTTGGTAGCAAACTCATTTAATCTAGTGAGAATGGTTCTTGTCACCCTTTGGCCAAAGCTTGAGAGAGAATTCTCAACCAGGTGTGTCATGCATGCATGGTTTACAATAGGTTGGCCAGTCTGCGGCCCGTCCACGGATCTGTTGAGTCATGCCTAAGATCACGTGTTTGTTTGAAATGTCCTTTGACAGATTGGCTGGTGAATCATCTGGTGGGTGATTTTTTCCAGAGTTATTGGGAGACAGACATGGCACAGGGGTGAATCCTTTGAGTAGGTTCTACTCACTGGACATGTGGAGGCGTTACATTTGATGGTGCTGGGAGAAGCGGTGTTGAGTGAATAGTCTGACATGGGTCAGACAGGGGCAACTTAAATACACATGTTAAGAGCCACAGCAAGGGGATGACTCTACATCATCTCCTGTTAGCCTTCTTACTTGAAGGACAGTATCCTGTCAAGAACCATTCCCACATTACTGTATGTGGAGTACTTCAGTTTCCTCTCTGTTTAATTGTTTGGCAGCTTTTGTGTTGAGAAGATGTATTTATGTGCGGCGTCTTCTGGTGTAGTTCTGCCAAATGAGTCTAATTCTCTAGGGATTCAACATTGTGCTAAATTTATTAGTCATTTCATCAGTATAGATGAGTTTGTGGGGGCTGGTCTTTGGTGTTTGATTTCTACTGAGGTTGATATGGGTTGTAGCAATACATGTTTCCTGTGGGAGCTTGTTATTCTGTGCACTTTATGCTCTTTTTTTATTTGTCCAACATGAATTTGGTTGTTAACGAGAGATCCGACCATTATTCACCAAAAGCAGGAGTAAAAAATTAGCATTCTAATTACTTTTTATACAAATTATAGTAAACCTGCAATGGTTCAGTCTTTGTTTTGACCATTTTCTGTGAGTTAACTGTCAACATTTTGAAAGTAACCATGCAAGTATGAGTAACATGAAATGCACTTGACAAAGTCATATTTAAAAATGCCTTCCCAAATTAATTTATGCTGTACTTCAGACCTATTGTATATTTAATCTGAGCTCCATGTCTTGTAATAGTCTTTGGTCAGTAAATCTAAAAATTGAAACCTAACAAACCTGCAGATGAGAGGAGAGAAATAAAGCCTCAATACTTATATAAAAAACTCAAACTAAGGCTACAGTGGATTTCCACTTTGTTAAATCCTATTTACAGTGCGTTTAGGGAAATCTCTGTATTTTATCACAGACTCATTAGAGTCCAAGCCAGTTCCAGCTCAGCTCTCCACAGAGTTTACATCAGTCAAACCAGTCTCTGCATGTCTGGCCGGGCTAAACTGGGATCAGCAGTCATTTTCCAGCTTGTTGATGGAGACAAGGTTTTCTTGGCTTGACCGTGATGCAGACTGCTGCACTGACCACCCACAAGATCCAGAAAACAAGCTTTTGTTTCCTGTGCAATGCTGACAGGAACCTCAGCATCTTATTTCATGTTCCTTGTTTATTATCACTTCTTGCATTAAGAATTAAAATTGTCAGTGTTAATTTCACTGTCATTTTGCACATTTCTTCTCCAGTCATGACCAAAATGTCAGCTTGCTTTTGCTTACTTATCTCTGTCTGCAGGAGCAGGTAACTGAATTGGTTCTGCTTGTGGAGAATGCATTGGCTGCAGTTTCTGGATGAGTAAATGCAATGGGTGGCGTTTTTTTTAGCTTGACTTGTTTTCGTTGCTCTCGTTAAAAAGAGTAGAAGTACAGAACACCTCCTGTGTAAAAACTTACAAAATATGCAGCAGCAACCCAGATGATCTCTTCTGCCATCAGTCTGAAGACGCAAACCCATATATTAGCCCAGATTTACAACATTTACACCACTTGAAACTGTGTAGTGTCTTAATGTGGCTGTTTCTTTTGTACAAAGCCTGCTCCAGGACAATTCTTAGTGGTTTAAGGCTTGCTTTTCCATCCCTAAAAAGAGCGGCAGAAAGGAAAGAGAAAAAGCAAGCAGTGTGCCAGTGCCATGTACTTTAATTTTCCCTGAAGCCTTTGCAAGGGAGTTGGTATAAAGTGAAAGCACAGTGTGCAGCTGTCCTCCTGGCCCCCTGCTCGCTTTTTGTGCGACGTTTTCTTGTCAGGAATACTAATAGTGATACCAGCCCTGTGGAGTCCACCCAGCTGGCGAGGAAACAGACAACAATTATTCTGCCATCAAAGAAGGCCATTTAATTTGACACAAGTTGGTGTGCTGTGTTTGTGGCGATTACTTACGAAGGAAGCGTTTTGATTCACAGAGTCGACTTTATTAGCACTTGTTAGACTTCCAGCTCACACCACAGGCTCTGATCTAATCTAATCACATTACAGAAGGCGGCTCCTGTAATAATGTGAGGAGGTTCTGATGAGTGTTTGTGTGTGGGGGATCTGAGGCTCATAATGAAGCTACACTTGTCAAAACTAAGTGAGACATAATGCCATCTTACATCTGTTTATTAAATCTTCATCTTGATATAAATAAACTAGGTTGACACACACACACACACACAGAGAGAGAGAGAGAGAGAGAGTACCTACTCTGTGATTTGCTAGCCTATAGATTTCCCTGGAGGCTCTTTTCAGCATTTTACCATCAGAAGTTGTGTTGTGTTGGTGTCATCAGCAACAGTCAAACTGATCTGGGACTTTGTTCAGAGATTCTTGGGGTTTGTTTAAAGCAAATGAGCACAAATGTATTTTCTGAAACAACCTAAGCACATCAGCAACTCATCAACTGGGACTCCAGTTTAATTTATGTCTGACAGTACACACCTGGAATGATTTAATGTTAAAAATAATATATATGTAATAGTACGTTTTCTTGCAGGCTTTACTAATTGCAAAAACACCACAACATTAGTTTGTCATAAATGCTGTATACAATTAGTGAATTGTATGGAGTTGGCACACAGCTCCTGCTTTAAAAATTCCATCTTTGCAACAATCATCACTATTTCATCATTTAGCTTAATAATTTATTTAAAAAAAATGGAGTTAGAATTAGTGCCACTTGTCAATCAATATCATGGAGCAAAATTATTTGTAAAATCTTGCACTCTCAATGTTGCAGGTGCAAGAAATTGAATTTGAGCTTTTTCCAATTTAAGGTTGTTAGGATAACAGCAATAATACATATCCAATATTCAGCATTTTTGAAAGGAAGATCATACAGTTAAGTGTAGTTGTATATAAGCAATAAGCTGTGTGGTCTTAAGCAAGATATTAATGAAATAAGTTACCCTGATATAAACATTAAAACTCTGTCACATTTCTGAATTCTAAAGGAGTCTTTCACTGTCTCAAACCTCCAGTAATAATCAACCCTGTGTGCTGCTTTTTGATGATGAATGAACATGTGCAGCTTCATCATGGCTGCTTCCGGAGGTCATGTGAGGTCACTGTGAGCGTCCTGTCATGGCTGCTGGGTTAATAACAGGGCCAGACTGGTAACTGAGAGCTGGCAGGAAGCCGCTGGGCTGAGACGGTGTCATTAGCTCCCGGAGGCGATGAATGGCTTGTGGTCAGGAGCCTGCGCTCCCAGCTTCCTTTTGAAAACCAGAGAAGTTGCTCCTTTATACTGCACGGCTGAGCTTTGAGCTACGCCGTAGCTGCTACGGTTTTAGGATACTACAGCACTTCTGCCAAAATTAGCAGGTTGCAATTATTTTCTCTAAATATGATATATAGACTGGGATATCAAATGTAATTTGGGATTGAGAAGACGCCCCCTGAATGGCATGATAGTGCTTAAAACATTTACACTGTTCTGTATATAAAAGCAACAAATCACAAAATTACAAATGATGACTGGCTAAGATTCTGAACATTTCAGTGTAACCTTGAGACTCCCTCTTTACCCAGCTGTATCACTACACAGTAGGTGGATGCTGTGATGAAGGTACTACAGTACAAAGGTGTGCATGTTGTGACCTTTAATGTTACAATAATCAATTTGTTAAGACTAATGGAGCGTGTTCTCTGACTAGCTGAACCAACACAATATATAACTTACACTTATCAGAAATCACTCTGCCTATTGAAGGTTAAATATGTGTGAAATTGGAAACTGGAAATGGGAAAGGAGAAATAATCTGTCATTTTGTGGCCGTCCCTCCCTGAGTTTACTTGAAGAATTCTTCATTCATCCTCATCTCTGTTAAAATGTGTCTAATTTTTACTGTGTTTGCTGCTTTATCATTATAGACACGTCCAGATATTTCCACTTCTCTGTGCGGTCTGCCATCTAACTCTGGCCTTCCCCACCCAAAGTCCATCTGCATATGGTACATCCACATTTTCCAATTATGTCTTACTTTTAATAAAAAAAATATTTGTGATCCTTAAAATAATCTGTATAAAAAACAACAACAAATTTCAGGTTTAGCCATTCTGTTATAAACAAAAAAATACAAAGCTGCATTTAACAGCAAGAGCACGAGTTACTGTTCTCAGCGAATCTCCAGAATCGCTCTGTTTTTAATGCTCTGTATCCTCTACTGTTTTTCTTCAGATGATGGCCAGTCTTCTTCAGATGATGGCCAGTCTCTCAAGGTGAACATCCCCCACTCGGGTGCGCTTGTCGCCCCACTGGGCAGCTCTGTCTCCTTCCCCTGCTTGGTGTCTCGGTCATCCACACCCAGCACCTCCTCTGCCCCTGCTGTACCACGAGTCAAGTGGACCGTGGTGTCTGATGGGGTGGAGACACAGATCTTAGTGGTGAAGGGTCAAAGGGTTAAGGTCAGTGAGGCATACCAAGGCCGTGCTGCATTGCTCAACTACACCTCCTCCCCTGATGACCTGTCTCTGTGGTTGGGAGATTTGCGCTCCAGTGACTCTGGTTACTATCGCTGTGAGGTCCAGCAGGGTCTGGAGGATGCCAGCGACCTTATACAACTCAAGGTCAAAGGTAAGAAAATGAAAGATGTGGATCACTGAAGCTTTGGAAAGATAGTTAGGTATTAAAAGACACAATTTAGTGACAGTCCTGCTGTAATCTTCCTGTCCAAAAGATCAGATGAGTCTGCTTACATTGATAACATATTTCCTTCTGTCTTGGTTGTATATCATGTTTTTGATATAGTTTTTTTTAAAGAATCTTCTGCAAACTAAATGTCTAACACTAAGAAAGACCTGCAAGATTTTGATGAATAATATATGCAGCTTGCTTCATATGTTTAATACGTTGGCTTCTACTCTTGTTGCTTTTGATGTAAAATAAGATCAGTTCACACATCTCTCTGAGCTTGAACTGCTGAATTCTGAAAAGCATTGTTAAGCCTCAGAGACAAAAAGTGTGGCAAGATAATTAGTTTTACAAGTTATCATATTTACCTGCTTATTCCCCATCTCATAAGAATCACTAAAACTGGCTGAACATGAAGTATTGAAGGTCAGGTTCTCTATTCTGTGTCAGGTATTGAGTCTGCTCTGTCTCTTCTAACAACTAAGCAACATAGTAAATAGGTTGTGGTCAATGCACTTTCCAAATAAAATTATATTGTTGCCTGCAGCTACCTGGATCAACTGGTCCACCAGTTGTTAGTTTCATCATTTTTTACATCAAAAACTTTGTAACAACAGGATTCTATGCTTATATATGCTTTAGTTGTTATGTGACTACCACAGTTCTGTCTTCTGTTTTTGTACATTTTGTGTGTGTTTAGGTGTTGTATTCCACTATAGAGATGCCCTTGGCCGGTATGCATTTTCTTACCATCAGGCCCAGATGGCTTGTGAAGCCATTGGGGCAGAAATCGCCACTCCTGACCAGCTTCTAGCAGCTTATTACAATGGATATGAGCAGTGTGATGCAGGCTGGCTGGCAGACCAGTCTGTCAGGTATATCACCACTTCTGTATCTACTTGTTTCATAAAAGCAGTATGACACTTACTGTCACATTTTAAAAGCTGTACCTGTTCATGAAAATATTCTAGATGTAATGTACATTCCAGTGGCGGGCCGTGCATTTTGTACCTGGGCCTTCAGTGGGGACTTACCCGACTTAATTCACCCCTTAATACCACCACTATCACATCGCAATTATAGAAACCATCAATACTATACAAAAACGCAATATAATTAGCGTGGGATTACAGAGAGAGAGAGGTATTTCACATATTGAGGGTGAATACCATTTTTACTAAAGCAAGAAACCCAGTTAAGACAACTCCAAAACCTCTACACTACAACCACAACTGCGCCAGGTTCATCATCCGGAGCAGTTCAGAATCAATATTTATCTAATAACATGACAAAAACATACAGAATTTAAATTAAATACATCATACTCACCAGAGATGCTATTTATTTATAGACAAAATCCATCCTCATAGAGGTGATCTCTGCGTTTCAGTTCCATTAGTAAGTCCTTTTCTAGTTTTGCTCTAACCAACCAATCAGAGGACGGAAAAATGCTGACATCATTGTGGGCCAGCTAGCTGGCCCTGTGAGGCGAATTTGAAATCTGATTGGTTAAAGAAACAGTACCATTGCTAATACAGTTTAAGTTACATCGGCCAGGACTTCTGATTCTGAAGGCCCTGGGCAGATTAGATTGACATGGCAACACATAGAGGCTGAAATCTGATTGGACAAAAAACCTAACATCCACATGCACATACTGGAAGCGGTGCAGCCAAGAGAAACGCTACGAAATGAAGAGAATAGAGTGTTGGGAATAAATTAGTACAATTTCATGGAACAAATATTAGAATTTAGGTTGTAAATGTAGGTCAGTGCTTCTGATAGTGTTTAGGCCAGCAGAGAAGGCCTTGCTGGCCCTGACTGCCCGCCACTGGTACATTCAGCCCAACAAACTACAAAATCTCCAGAATCTACATTAAAAATTTTTGTATGGTTTTAAACTTGGCGCAAGTTTGTAATTGTTGTCTTTCTGGTCAGTCAGACAAAGTTTAAGAGGTCAGTGTTACTGTATATATAAAAAATGCTGGGTGTTTTTGTTCTTGTAGATACCCAATCCAATTTCCTCGTGAAGGTTGCTATGGAGACATGGAGGGGCAACCAGGAGTGAGAAACTATGGAACAGTCAACCCAGCTGATCTTTATGATGTTTACTGTTATGTGGAAGCAATTAACGGTATGAATAATACATATTTCTGAGAACTGTGGATAAGATATGCCAGAGTCCTTTACAGGTGAAAAATTAACTTAGTGCCCTCTGTTGGACAGATTATGTAACAGTGTTTCTTTAATAAAAAAAGCACAGTACAGTATACCCACTTAGACAGTTATACTGTATGTGCTTAGCTTAAACCTGCCAATAATATCAGTCATGTCAATGTATTTCAACAGCTATATTAATATAAACCATGACAAAATTAGTGATCAAGCTAAAGAAATGCTATATACTGAAAAATGAAACTATGAAACCTTTTGTTTTGGTAGGAGAGGTGTTCCATGACTCTGTCCCACAGCAGTTATCATTTCATGGAGCACAGTCATACTGCAGAGCTGCAGGGGCTGAGTTAGCTACAACAGCACAGTTGTATTTAGCATGGAGCGAAGGCCTGGATCGCTGCAGTCCCGGCTGGCTGTCTGATGGCAGTGTGCGCTACCCCATCACAGCCCCCAGAGAGCGCTGTGGAGGGCCTCAGGCAGGTGTCAAAACCCTTTACCGCTTCAGCAACCAAACTGGTTTTCCAGAGCCATCCAGCCTACATGATGTTTATTGTTTCAAAGGTGCGTATTTTGTGCTACAGAAATGTATTGTGTATAACGCAGAATTAAAATTGCATATCAGAAATACTTGGATATGCATGTAGACTGTTTATTTCTACTTATTTAGATAAAAAGTTTAACAAGGAGGCTGCAGTGAATACTATTCACACTGTAAATAATCTCTGCTTCACCTTTGCTCTTTATAGTCATGGCTAAAACACATTTTGTGGACATTCTGATATACATAAATCTGAATTATTTATCATTTGTATGTATGTAATTAAAGTATAAAAAATGGATAAAATAATTGTAAAAAATACAAGTTTTCATACCTTACATTTTATTTTGAAATATACATTTGCCTTTTACAGATAAGAGAAATACTTCCACTGACTTTCCTATGGACTTTGTGGCCACAGAACCTGAAGACATTGGACAAGACATTATTTTTATGAAAACAGATCAAGAATTGCAGCTGCACCAGCAACATGGAGAGCAAGTAGAGCGAGAGGCTCAAAGTGAGGTTGTATCTGTTCCCTATTCCTCCAGCCCTTCTACTGAGGAAAGCCTGGTTGATACATACCCAGAGTCTCCCCTGACCACCATGTCTACAATTTACTTCCTCCGTCTAGCTGATGAACCTTTACTTCCTACAGAAATTGACTCCCAGGATCCTACAGCACTGACGTATGGCAGTATCAGCAGCACAGGCACCTATGATTTCCCACAAAGCACATCATTATTGCCCACTGTTTTCAATGACACAGATTCCTATCAGAACCTAACCTCCACCTTTCACCAGTCTGAGCTTGAAAGCAGCACAGGGCTTCCTGAACCATCATACGAACCTCATGCATATAACCAGACAGTGCTAGACATAGCCCCTGAACAAACACAACCATCTGTGAAGCCAAAGGATTCCCAAGAAATACAAGATACCATCTTGAATTTAAATAGATCACAAGCCAGTTTCAGCGAGACAAACAGCAACTATCCTCAAGAGGAAAATATCCTGGAGGAGACTCCACTGACCCCTGATAACTTACTCCAGGTGAAGCTTGAGGAGGCAGCAGTAGAAGATCCCGTGCAGGTGTCTCTCTCAACTGAGTCACCAAGAGAGGATGTAACACTTCCTACAAATACTACCCATTCTCCCATCAAAAATCTTACTTCATTGTGGTTCCCTCTGGATGGGTCTGGAGATGTTTCTCAAGGTATGAATTTAATAGCATTATAATTTTTACTGACAGCCACACTAGTGCTACAGTACTACACATTGGTGCTAAATACTATAATCAGCATGCTAATATGCACACAATAATGCAGACATGCTGGTATTTAGCAGGTACACTGTCTGCAATCATCATCTTAGTTAAGTGGGTTGGCATACAAACATTTGCTAATTAGTGTTCAACACAAGGTTCAGGTAAGCTGACTCACCAAAGTCATCCTCTGAATGAATCCACCATGAATAGCTGCACTAAATTTCAAGGTGTCCAATAGTTATGGATTATTTGCTTTGCAATGACATTATCAGTGCTTTTCATTAAAAGCCAAAATATGGTGGCATTAGAGGTAAAATCAAAGAATAACTAAAGTCAGCGAAATTCATTCTCTGTGAAAGATTTGTATCACATTTCATTTTAATCCATCTAGTAGTTGAAATATTTAAGTCTGAATTGGCATTGAACAAATGGCAGACATTGGCATCTACAGTATAGAGCCATGCTGCTACCATGGCTAAAGTATCAGTATCTTAATACATACTTAACACACTTACATACTTGCCATGTTGTGTTTTCTTTTCCAGAGAGTGACCATGATGTTGAAGAAGTCAGTTTCATGTCCACATCAGATTCTTCTACTTCCAGCTTCACCACTCACCTGTCACCTTCTGCTTCAGCCTGAGCCTGAGACTGCAGTCCCAGATCCCACACACTCATCTGTGTCACAAAATACTGACAAACTGGGCTTCACTATCCTTTGGGAGTCTCCCATTTCTAAACAAGAGGGAAGTACGAGCTTAGAAATTGAAGACTCTGTCATCATGGAAAGTGAGGGAGAACAGCTGCACCCAACAAATATTAGTTTCGTAAGTTTAGCTGCCACTGAGTCTCCAGGGGGATCACACAACTCTCAGTTGCCCACTAATTCCTCTGCAGCCCAATATCAAACATCAGATTACAGAGTGCATTTAGATACTACAACCACTGCTCATGAAGAAGCCAGTGGACAGGAACCTGGTATAGTTAATGAAACCCTTGGAGAAGATGTTAATGTTGGTCCAACCCCTGATGAGGATGTTTATTTTAGCCAAATAGTTATAAAGGAAGTTACAGTTCCCCCAGCCCTTGCAGAAGAAATGAAAATATCCTCAACTTCTATGGAAGGTAAAGTTTATTTTTCTATTGCCCCAACACTTGAAAAAGAAGCTTACATCACCCCAAACCCCGAAGAAGCTAAAGGTGACCCAGGTCTTGAAAAAGAAGCTGACATTGTCCCAACCCTTGTTCTCGAAGAAAAGGGCAGTGTTTCACCAGCCCTTGATGAGGAAACTACCGCTGCTCCAACCATTGCCCTTGAAGAAGAACCTAATGTGGATCCAACAATTGTAAAAGAAGCTTACATCACCCCAATCCCTGAAGAACCTAAAGGTGATACAAGTCTTGAAAAAGAAGCTGACACTGTCCCAACCCTTGAAGAGGAAACTAACAGTGAATCAACACTTGTCGAGGATATTAACATTGCCCCAACCATTGCCCTTGAAGAAGGACCTAACATTGAACCAACCCTTGAAGATCGAGCTAATGTTGACCCAACACCTGAAGGAGGAGCTAACATTGAATCAACACTTGGCGAAGATATTAACATTGCCCCAATCATTGTCCTTGAAGAAGGAGCTAACCTTGACCTAACACCTGAAGAAGGAGCTAATGTTGACCCAACACCTGAAGGAAGAGCTGACATTGAACCAACCCTTGAAGATCGAGCTAATTTTGACCCAACACCTGAAGGAGGAGCTAACATTGAACCAGCACTTGAAGAAGGATCTAATGTTTCCCCAACATTTGAGGAGGACTTTACTGTCTTTCCTCTCATTTCTACAAGATCTAACTGGGCTCATCTGCCCACCACAAATGGACCCCAAGAATCTCTGAACGATCTAGAGTACAGCACAAAAACCTCTTCCATCACCTCTACAGCAGCTCCAGATTCCACTTCAAGTACAAAGTCCAGCGTTGCCACCACAAAAACAACTGCCACCACCATCACGACCACCACACATTGGTTCAGACGCACTTGGAGCCCAACCACCCTAACACGAAAGGCTTTCCACAAGACAACAGAGCCCCAGAAGGTGACCCACCTCATACCACCAGTGGATCACGGTCTGGTGGATGTTGAGTTTAGTCTCACCCAGCCGCCCACCCTGCTTATCTTGCCCAAAGAGAGGGCAGCTGTAGGCGGTGCAGGGAAAGATTCAGGTAATGTTAAAGCCACTCTCATCAGCCTGTCCGTCCTCTTCTTGCTGCTCGACGCAGTGATGCACTAAAACTCCTGATCTGTCCTTTGCCCCAACCTGCCTTTGCTCCATTGTCTGTAAAACACTCCCCTCCTTTTGCCGCGTTTGTTTAACTTCACCCTTCTGACTCCTCCCGCTTCATCTTAAAACACTTGTGATCCCACCTCCCCTACAAGATACTCACTCTGGGACAGCTCCCATCTGATATTTGTCACTAGGCCAGTCTTGTTGTGCATGATGTTTTCTTCCTCACCCAAAGACTGACTTCTGTGAAGTATTGTAATATACTGATATGTTTGAATGAGTATTTCAGTGCTTCTTTTGTGACAATTTTCTGCAAGACTGGTTATAGCTTCGGTAAGCCTTTTCATAGTACCTCTTTTGTTTTAAGATTATTAACCACTTCACCAATCAAGTGCAAATTATTCTCTCCCTGCTGTCAAAACACTGTGTTTTTTGCAGTAATCTGGGAGCAACATGATAAAGGTACTTGAACTTTATCTTTAACAGCAATTACCTTGAATGTAACAGCACTGACTGGTGCAATCGCAATAATGTTTTTTATATTTAATCCAAAATTGTCAGGTCATCAAGTGTTCTGTTTCTGGGATTTTAAGACTTTAGTCTAGTTGTAAGAGCACAAAGTATTGTTATGTTTGTAAGCACAAAAGTTGTTACGTGTTGATTTGTTATGCGTGGTAGCATGTTTTGAAATGTTCTTTAAGGGTTATTAATGCTTCATACTCAAATAATGGTCTACTGATTAATCGTGATCTTTTAAGATTTGTACAGTATTGTATTTTTAGTTTTAAAAATATTAACATCAAATAATCAGACTTTGTTTCTCATGTTACCATCAGTTTATAAACCTGATATGTAAGTTTTCGTTTAGCCTCAAGTTTTAGTTTACTATAAAGTTTTGTTCACCTCGGTATCAACTAAGGCAGAGAAACACAGTGCATGGAAAAGCCACCGCTCGTTCATTAATTCAAATCACCAACTTGACATCATCACCTACATGCAATTTATTGTCATGTGGTGTTTGAGGAACTCACACAGGTTCAATTCTCACAGAAAAAGTTGAGAATTGAACCTTGGTTCTTGTTGCTCTGCAAACCTAAAAAAAAAACTTTCATTATTGTAAAGATGCCAATTCAGGTTTTCATTTGTTCATGCCTAAGACTAGGTTAAAAGATGAGACTGTGTATTTTTCAGCACAACTTGTTTTAATCTGAGCGCATATGATTCTCTTTCAACTTGTGTAAAGCAGTTATTACCATTCAAACACACACTGTCTCAAAGAAGGCTGTCTAAATGGCAGCATTTGAGTGTTCAGTATAATGACAGACACCACAGAGTTCTTGTTTATAGGGTGTCAAAGGAAACGTATAAACCAAATCCACTAGTAAAATGCTTAATTTTAGTACAGATTACCACTTTATTTAACAAATTTAGAAAATTAAGATGAAACTCCAACCCTTCTCTTTTCTTCAGGACTTTAAACAACTAGGCTATGTTTGACGGAACATTTAACTTGAAGCATAGAGATATTTCCTTTCATACAGCATGAGCATCCATGCATATTTCCAAATATGTCAAGGCAAAAAAAAATTCATTCTATTATAAAAATGTTGCCATTTTGTGGGAAATGACTAACATTTAATTGAATTGTCACATGCTTCAACCTCAACTTTGAACTCCTTGGAATAATCTGCAGTTTGATGGTTGATACAAATGTGAAACATATGTAATACATTTATACACAGTATGTAGAGAGGCATTTAGTCTATGGGGAATTACAGGGTGTAGCAGAAAGTGAAAATAACATGAAACATCTATTATAAGATGAGGTTTTTTTCACAAGAAAACCTAATCCCAGGGGTCTATATTAATGCGCTCTAATATGTATTTGTATCATCCATGACATGATGGGCGTACTGTAATAACTAATGACTGATGTAAAAAAAAAAATTTCTTTTGTTACTTTGGTAGAGAAAAGTTATCAAAACCAATCACAACACGGGGTGTCGATTATTACTGTATATATAACTAGGTAACTGTAGTTTGAAAGAAACATTGTTGGATTTTTACAAAGCGTAATATCTTTAAGGCTGCAAGTATTACATGAAAAGTGACAAAGTGATGGTTTGAGGAAACTCACCAAAACCTGCTGCAAGAACGGGACCTGAAGAGTTTGACGTCACGACTCTCTGAAGTTTGTCCCCTGTTGCTGTCTGTCGGCTCCTGTGTCATGATGCAGCATTTTATCTGGAGACGTCCTGGAATGTTCTACTCTTAAGATATTTCTTCATGCTTATTTTCCTCTGCATATATGTATAAATTCATCTAAACATAGACCTTTATTCACATAGAGGATGTATAGACAATAGATTTGATGCACAGTTTCATGATTTTTAAAGAGAGACAATAGTATTAATTCTTATGAGTTGTCTCTATTGAATACAGATTAAATCATTTTGATCCTCCAAATCCACCTCTTTCTCTTGCATCCATTTGTACTTGCATCAGAATAATCTGAACTGACCCTCTGATGTGTTTCAGATGCATGTGTGGATGACCCCTGTCTCAATGGAGGCACCTGCACAGACCGAGAGGGGAAGATTCAATGTCTGTGTTTGCCAACATATAGAGGAGACTTTTGTCAGACTGGTGAGCTCTCTTGGCTGTCTTAACCATTCTTCAAAGAGAGTTTGGATTTTAAAACAAAAAAACAAGCTATTGTCCTTGTAGATAAGTACAGTACAAATGACAGTAGATCCTGCATTATGAACTTATGTCAGAGCCCTGTTTTGTGTGATCAATGTGTCAAAATCAAAAGAATTTTGTTGCACTCATGTACCACAATTTCCAAAAAAAAAGCAAGGTCAAGCAGTAATAGTCCAGCATACGAGTAGCTTGCTGGCTGGTTTGTGGGTCTCTGTATTTACACATTTATGTTTGCAATATGTCTTCAGACCTGGAGCAGTGTGAACCAGGCTGGGATAAGTTTCATGGTTTTTGCTACAAACACTTCACCCAGCGTCTAAGTTGGGAGGTTGCAGAGCAGCACTGTCGCATGCAGGGAGCTCATCTGGTGTCTATCATGACCCCCGAGGAGCAGAACTACATCAACAGTGGGTTCACAATTGCAACTGTTGGTACATATGTATATACTGATTGATTCATGAGGACTGAATATAAAGCTTTTCTGTCCTTCTCACCAGGCCACTACAAAGAATATCAGTGGACTGGTCTGAATGATAAGACCATCGAGGATGATTTCCGCTGGTCTGATGGCAGTCCACTGGTGAGGAATATCAGAAACCAGGAGTATGAAAAAACAAAACAATTACACACAGTTGCTTAGAGGTTAAGTTGTGTGAGTGCACGACATTGTGTAGTGCATCATAGGAGAAAGCACTGCTTAGATAACAGAGGATTTACAAACAGAAATGTATTATGCAAAACATTCAAACCTTACTTTGTTGATTAGTGTGGATGCTATTTGACACTATACAAAAGAATGTTCTTGTTTATGATTCACTTCTCTTGTTATATCACAAACTTACGCTGACATTTAATGTGATTTTGTACATTTTTTCAGGCTTTATACAGACCAGCACTGAAATAGAATATATTGGTTTCATGTACTGCTTCACTAAAACATAGGTTAGCTATTTTAATGTATCAAACATTAACATTACAGAGTTGTACCCTAACAAAAGGATGGCCTACTTGTAGGTGACATACAGTACTGTAAAAAACAAACAAAAAACTCCATATCATTAGTATTTCCTTGCATGGAAACAAATCTATACAAAATGCACCTTATTTCCCCATGTTTCCAGCTGTATGAGAACTGGTACAGAGGACAGCCCGACAGCTATTTTCTGTCTGGAGAAGACTGCGTGGTGATGGTATGGCATGATGACGGGCGCTGGAGTGATGTACCCTGCAACTATCACCTGGCTTACACCTGCAAGAAAGGCACCTGTGAGTAATATGAAGCAGACTGAAGACTAATTTATAACTCTGTGTTGGGTTAACTCCCCCAGGTGGTTGTTTTGGGCAGTTACATCCCCATACATCAATGATTTATTATACCAATTTAGCAAGTAATTCTTAATTTAGCCCTGTGAAGGATGTTAAGTGTCTAAACTCTTCCAACAGCCTCTTGTGGTCCACCACCAAAGGTACGAAATGCCTCCATATATGGAAGAGTTCGACAGAGATACGAGACTAGTGCAGTTGTGCGTTATTACTGCGCCAAGGGCTTCCAGCAGAGACTTAATCCTCTGATCAGGTGTCTGTCTGGAGGCAGATGGGAGAGGCCCCAAATCCTGTGCATGCCTGGTAAGACAAGGGATGAACTTAACCCTGACAATTTTTTTTTTTTAATTCCTTAAAGCCTTCATGAAATGTAACTTCAATTGTCAAAGATCCTCTGGTACTCTGTGTCTGGTGTGAAGCGATTATTAATAGGACTTATAGTCTGTATTATCTGGGTGAATTTTCTGTGGTTTGGTTTAGTTTTATTCTGTCATAAACAACCTAAACATAACACACTTATCCAAATAGTAATAAAAAAGAACAAGAAAACCAAAACAAAGACACAAATTCAGTCGAACTTGGAGACCTGGACAAGAGACAAAAAATGTAAAAAACAAACAAACAAAAAAACAAAACAAATAAAAAAGTAAAATAAAACACATTGAACACAAACAGGGTGTTATGCATAAAACTGAAGCATGGTACAGACTAAAAACACTAGACAATTAATATGATTTATTTCCAGAGGCTGGCAGCCCAACTCAGCACCCTGAAGTGACATCACCAACCAACAGCGACAACTTTGCTGAGATTGAAGATGAGTTTGAAGCCACTAAAGAGAGACCACAATACCGGGACATCAAGTTTTAAAAGTCAGCCATAGTTTCCTTGTCTTTTTTCTTAAACTCTGCTGTTGCAATGTGAAAAAAAATGAAAAGAATGATACACCACAAAAGCAAAGAGACAGGCCAAGAAGCTTTGCTTTCTTCTTAGGGTTTTAAACATTCCTATTCATTATTGTGCTATAAAGTATTTTTAAAATTTCTACTGTGTTGGGTTAAGGAGAGTTTTAAGGATTAATGCAGTAATGTGATGGTGTGTGTTTTGACTAGAAAGAATCAGCTGTTCTCTTTATGGGGTTTCTTACATCGAGAACCTTTAAAAAATGGTGCTAGTGTCTTCAACACAGAGATTTTTGTTTTCAGTGTGTAAAAGTAGAGTAAGTTCCTGCTTTTTCAAAGAATCCAACTTTTCCAAAGCACAAAGTCAACTTTCACTAATAGCCAATAAATACTGTACATATACTAGTTTTCATAGCTGTGATTGCTATCCTGTATTTTCCGAGAAACCTTTGATTTCCAACAGACACTGTTTTGTTCATCAGCTTTATGTTGTAATAAAGTTTTGTAGAACAGAACAAAGAATAAATTTTCTCACTTTACCCTCAGCACGTGTGTGGGATTCATTTCATGCAAACTAATGTGCAAAAATTCCCAAGAGAGTGTGTTTAAACAAGAAATTCTAACTCTACCATAAATTTATAGGCAGCAGTAACAACCAAAACACAGTAAAGGTCAGGTGACTGTGCGCACGTGCGCCCACATCTGCGCAGACGTTGTCACTCCACCGGAAACTTGAGAGAAAATGATTTACAAGAAAGAAAAAAACATAAAGTAAGTCGATGTATGTTTGTAAATGTGTGTTTGTAGCAGGTAAAGGTATCTAGTGTACATCTGTGAAGTCTTCAGACAGGGAAGGAAACCAAATGTGAACCTGCGTTAACATTCACCTGCCCAGGTGACTGAGCTAGCTCACCAAACCTTTTGTCATGCCCGCAAGAAAGTAAAAGCTGGTAAACATGATGCACGCTCACCAGAAATCACTTATTTCATTCCATAACTCGTTTAATGTGTGAAATTGAATATTTAACAGAGGCGTGTTTGTCACTGAACGTGCCCTCGGTGGTTTTGAAGTTTACATCTGAATTTCAGGCACCTTTAACTGGTTATGTTGTGTTATTCTTATAAAATAAACGTTGTTCAAATAATTCCTAATAGTTTATACAGGTTTTAGTCTGAAGGAAATTTACTCTAGTGTTGTTCATGTGATAACACAGATGGCGGATGACGGTCAGATCCACAGTTTGCCACTAGATGGCATCGGTGTGCCATGGTTTGTTGGAAAGGCTGGGAGGAAACAAATGGCAAAAAAATCGGGCAACAGTTTAGTATCACAGCTGAGGCCTTAAAAATATTTTGATCACTACCATATTAATAACAGAGAGGTTGAAACAAAGCTGCGGAGGACTGTTCCTGACATACACGATGGACTGTAGACATTCGGTTGTTTTAAGAGAGTTTTTTTAACCTCTGAGTTTTGACATTTATGCATGTGCTTATTGTGTTGATGGGCTATTAAGTACAGTCGCTTTACTCAACAAATGGCCCACACTTTGCTTTACTTTCCATCTCCACTTTCCAGTATCTCCATTTACTTACTGTACACTTGAATGTGCTGTTTATTTTTTGTTGTGTAAGGCATGAGGTATATAGTAGTATTCTCAACCAAATTTTAAAAAGTTGGTCAGTTTTTTTGTAGGCAAAGAAACCAAACATGGACAAAGATGTTACTTTTAGGCCATACTCTGTTTTTTTTTTTTTTTTTTTTTACATCCTTGCAGGCCTAAGTGAAAATCTATTAACGATTTGTAACCTAGGGTGTGTCCCTACCAATAACGCCCAGTGCGCACCGGAAGTTCAACAATAAACTTCACTGACTACAAATCAAAACCTTTTCATTGTCACTAATGTAGAAATAGTTCAGTGTAACATTAGGACTTGCTGATGAAGCTGGTCAAGGTGTCAGGGTGTGTGTTTGGTCTCCTGCCGTGTGCAGCCAATGTCAGCCTTTATGTTAGCTATTATCTAACTTGTTGTTAAAATGATTAATAAAAATGTCACTTGGCAGGAAAAAAATCAAGTATGATTTGTTATTAAGTAGGTTATTTTTAAGCTAAATTTCCACTACTTTTATTTATTTTATGTAATTCTAAAATGAATGTTTGGATTGTTTTTTGTTCATTTATTTGCAAGTCAGACTAAAAAGGCAAATTTTGCTTTGGATCCTGGGAAGCTGTGATGCAACAGATTAACATCAAATTTTAAAATGAATCCTGACATTCAGTAGGTTTAGTACAGTATGATGTGCTCATCTTTTGAAAAGTAAATGCAGCAAATACCAATGTACAGTGTAATACCCTGCATTTTGTCAAGTAAAACTCATGCATTCAGAAATATTATAGCACCAAAATATACACTAAGTACTAGAGGTTAAAGGTCTCATTATGCAGAATGTTCCATTTCACAATAATGTATAATATATTCTTGTTTCATAATTATCAGTGCAGTAATCATTTTAATGTTGCAGCTGGGAAAAGTGGGGTAATTTAAATGACTGTATACTGAAGATGACAAAAGTCTTATCCTATGATTATACATAATTTATGTGGAGATTCTGACAAATAGTACAACAAAGTAAAATGTTATCAAATTTATTGAATTTATCATTAAATGAATATGCAGTAAATGGAGTGCAGCATTTTTCTCTGAATTGTAGTGGAGTAAATGTACTTGCATTCCACCACAGGTTTAAGTGGTTTAATGTTGTAATCTCATTATAATAGGTTTAGCATTAGCACTGTACAGCCCCCAAACTCCAATATTAGTCATTAATGGTTAATATTTTGCAGAATGTAACATGTGTGAGAGTAATTTTATATTAGAGTAGACAACCAGCACTTTTCCACCAATGTGCCACTGAGCAAGGCATTTAGCTTGAAATAGATCCACATTAGTGCTGCTCACTGACTAAGCATGCAGGACTGTAGTTGCTTCATGCAGCTCCCCTGGTGTGCAATATATGTATGCAGCCCTCCTTCCTCCTGTTCCGGCTCAATTAAAAAAGAAATCCACATTATCAGACCTGATGAGAGGGTGAGGTTGAATTCTTAAAGCTGGGTAGATGCTCAAAGAGGTGTCTCTGTAGGAGCAGCACCACAGTTCTCAGGCCTTCAATAGCGTCACGCAGCTTGGTCTGAATGCCAGAGGTTGTTGTCCGTCCCCTTCATCATAGAGCCAATAACACAGCTCCAGATGGGAGTGTATTGTGGCCTGTGACCCCTGAGGTCATGGGGTCAGAGCAGACCGAACAGAGACCAGTCTTTAAGGACTCCTCATGGAGTTCCTCTTTCTTCCAAAGGACACGTGGCTCACTAATTGAGGGTCCACCTCCCTAAACTCTAAGTGCGAGGTCCTTGACACCCAAAAAATTACCGCTGGTGTGAAAAGGAGTGAAGTGTCATTATTTTCTCTGTTGCGAGAGCAGCAACCAGTGATTTCATTTCACTCTATACTATTTTATTGGTTATTTTTGAGACCTGTCTTTAATATTTTAGTCTGTATAATGTCACCTGCATTGAGAAGGATTATTTTTTTAACATTGATGAATCCGTCAACAATTTCTTTAATGATTGGTTTATTTGGAAAATGAAATCTGTCAGATAGTCCAATCACAAGCACACAGCCCACAGTAATGTCCTCATATTGCATGTTTTGTTCAACAAACAGCCCAAACCCCACATATATTAAACTTACAATGATATAACGACTGTCTAATAGTACAATCTACTATAGAACCATCAGATTTTTTTCTTTGATAAATGATCTAAAGGACTATTTTATTATCAGTATTGTTGGCCATTTATAATCTGTCAACTGACTAATCAATTTTCGAAGCTTTGCCCTATTCACAGACAAAAGATGCATTTCATATTTAAAACCTACATGAAATTCAATATCAGATGAACATGTCTGTGCAGGTTCTCAGTCATCCAGGTCATAGTAAACTGAAAAAACTTAGAAAACATCAACTGGACTAGATTTCTAGGTCGAAGACGTTTCACCTCTCATCCAAGAGGCTTCAACCTAAAAATCTAGTCCAGCTGATTTTTTCAATATCAGATGAAGCTATTAAATATAACAAAATGATGATTTTCTTTATTCTCCAAATTTACCTATAGGACATATACACATTTGTATGTGTCTTGCACAGTTTATATACTGTGAGTCCTTATGCCAAGACTCTGCTGTCAGGTTTGGACTGAACAGATCAGTAAGAATTGCATGATTAGTTTAAGACTTCACAAGATTCTGTTTGTGTGCACATTGAAAAGACAGAAGGGCGAGGAGAAGTTGAAAAGGCATGCCAAGTTGGCTGGGAACCACACCAGTAAGCTTTACCCACAACCCTTCACCCCAACATCACTGCTCACTGGGATACAAACAACCTTTGTAGCTTTTCACTGTGGTGAATTCCAGTTTGAACAAACACACTGTGTTGTGTGTTTCTGGGGTTTGAATAGTTCTTCCTCTGGTATTACTATTACAATAAATCGGGCACTTACTTGTTTAAAATATGTGTGTGTTTGTAGGTGTGTTGTCCACAGTCATAGGAACACACACAACACAGTAGAACAAGTTTCCTTTCCTCTGTAAAAAGCTGAAAGTTGTAGCATTTAAATTTTTCTAATAAAAGACAATGAGATGCAAAGATGTAGGTTATACTTAATTTGGCTTTTTTTTTAAATCTACAACCTTTTTCTTTCTTTTACATTTTTAAAGTAATTATATATAAAGAAAATGACATTATCATGCTTTTGGTTTTTGAGAAGCTGACAGTGGGTAAGGGGTAGGTTACACCCTGGACAGGTTGCAAAAGGAACATTCTGGTTTTGTTGTATTGCATTGGTCTGCTCTTGCAGTATTAAGTGTTGAGATGCACTGTTGAGCTCAAAATGTACTATGCAAGGTGAAATTATTTAAGAAGTGGAGATGAATTCCTTTTAAAATAAACTTCTTTGTCATTCATGGCCATTTGTGAAGGAAAAGTTATTCACTTCTCTGTAAAATAATGCGTAGACTAGAGAAGGAACAATAATGTAGTGTGGATGCCCACCTAATGTCTGAGGCTGATAACCATACTGTTATTTCACACTTTACAAAATCAAATCCAGGATATATTGGCCAGTATTACTTTTCTTTTACACATTAAATAAACAAATATTAAATAAGTATATTGTGATCAAAATGCTAAACGCAACAAAAATAAATTTGTAGTGGTTTCTTGTAACAAATTGCTCAGTGACATTGTAAAGTGCCTGGAACATATTGGCTCTGTATTGCATTTTCTTAATATCTGCAGTAAGCTACAGCTGAGCTGTCAGTCAGGTTCTAGAGCCTATAGTTTAATAGTAAGCTAATTGATTTTCATTATGTTTCAGGCACTGAAAGGATTTTGGTTAACAGTCAAAATTGTTTTGGTGAAAGATTTAGTAGCTGTGTGCAGCCACATGCTGTGGCTTGTGTTTGTGATGGCTTTTAACAAACATTG